TCAGTTGCACCCACAGGATTTTTAATTTATGGAGGTGACTTGGTGAAGTTAATGCCATTGAAAGAACTTACCACCTTTTGTGACACAGGGAGGCACCAGTGCCGGTAGGCAGGCAGCGGGGAAGGCCTTGGTCAGGGCGTTTATTGGAGTTTCTGTGGGAAGGGCAAGGCAGGGGGCACACCGCTTAAGATCTGCCCGCTCAAATAATTCCAGCAGGTTTGGGGTACAGGGGCTGTCCCCAGTTGCCTGGCACCTGGCCCTGGGTGATTCAGGCTTGGGGTGTGCATTAGACAGAGGTGGTCGAGTGTGGGCTCTGGAAGGGCTGGGTGAGCCCTGGTCTGTCTCTCTCCCCGGCTGTGCGAGACCCCAAATGCCAGAGCATCAGGGACACAGAAAGGAAGAAATATACGTCGTTGGTACAACTGGCCCTGCGGTGAACGAACGCCAGGGGACAATCCAGGATCTGGGGACCCTCGCGGGGCAGACGGGCTGCGGGCGCGGCTGCCCTCCCCCGCTCCTTTGCAGAGACCTTCCAGTTCGCCGACGTGGACCACAGTTACGTGCCCTCGCGGGCCGAGATCAAGAGGCAGGGCCAGCGGCTGATAGAGGGGAAGCTCAAGGTAGCCAAGAAGAAGTGACCGGAAGAGGAAGAACCCACCTCGCCAGCACACCCCGCCCCCATGCTGTCATTGGTTACACAAATAAACAATTTTCCAGGACTGCGGGGCACCTGAGGGGACGCAGATGTGGGGGACAGCGTTGGGAAGTCTGCGGCGAAGTGGGGTGCTCGGTGTGGATCTGGGCCCGAGGGTGCAGGGGTAAGAGTGAGTAGGGGGTCCGGGCGGGGATGCGGACGGGGGTCTGAGCTGAGCTGAAACCCTGGGGGCAGTTCGTAAGGCGGGACTGCGGAGTCCAAAGCCCCGCACCTACACCGCCCGGCTCAAGAGCGCACCTCCGCGCGCCACCCGCCCGTGGCCCTCGCGGCGCCCCGTAGCCGCACGCCCCGAGACCGCAGCGCTCTGCGCACGCGCACCCCTCCGCGCGCCGCACTCCTGTGGCCCTCGCGGAGCCCCGTAGCCGCGCGCCCCGCCGAGCCGGCGCCAAGATGGCGGCGCTGACGAGCTCAGAGCGGCCGCGCCGGGGTCCGCGGGGGACGAAGCTGATCCTCCGCGGCTGAGCCCCTGAGCCGCCCTCGAGGCAGGCGCCCGGTCGCCGGGGCCCGGGACATGGTGCGATCCGCGCCGCGCAGCCGCCGCCGCTGCCGCTGAACTCGGGAGCCGCGCCGGGCTTGGACGTGGGAGCGGGAAGATGTTTTCCGCGCTCAAGAAGCTGGTGGGGTCGGAGCAGGCTCCGGGCCGCGACAAGAACATCCCGGCTGGGCTGCAGTCCATGAACCAGGCGCTGCAGAGGCGCTTCGCCAAGGGGGTGCAGTACAACAGTGAGTGTAGCCCGCCGTGGGGTTCCTGAGGGGGCACGTGGAAAGTGGGGGCACGGGTGCAGCGGGTGCCGTCCCGCGGGGTCCGCAGGCCCCAGCCGCGCCGTCCAGGACTTGTGGTAACCGGGGCGGGCCTCGCCCGGGAAGCGCTGGGGGACCCGTCGCGCTCCGAGGGCCTCGCCGTCTGTGTGCAGGTGAGCTGAGCCCTTACCTGTGCCGGGCACGTTGCGGGTGCCCCAGGGGCGTTCCCTTGGGGTTGGGAGGTGATGCGGGCCGGAGAGGAGGTCCTAGAGGACCCCAGGGCCAGAAGGTGGGCTCCTCGGCCCGCGGCGCTCCCCTCTGACCTGTGGGTCATTCCCGAGGAATGCTGGTACGGTGGGACATTCGAGTGAAATTGGTCTAGGCGGTTCCTCGTGCGTCTGCGGTACCCTCATTGGCCCAGGTGACCTCGTCTAAGAGGGATTCTTACATAACGTGGGGAGAGTCTGTGGTGTATGGCGCTTCTTAAAGTGGGTGGTGGAGCTCTCCAGCCATGAACCGCGGGGTCACCCGCAAAAGAAGAGAGCGGAGGACTCCGCCGGCTTCGGTAGTTTGAACTATGGGATTTTTCTTTGTAGACTTCGAACCCCGTTTGAAGACGGAATGTCAGCTACACCGCACGTTCTTGCCCCCCCCTTTTTTTTAAAGAAGCATTTGTAAGGGATATATTTAGAAAAGCTCCAGAAGGCACAGGCTTTACTCTCTTACTTGTTATTGTAGAGATTTCTTTTCTCCTACGGGAAAGAGGAGTTATTTACCAGATGCCCTGAAAGCCCAGGTCGTTTCCAGTCCTCAGTTATAAATTATGTAAATTGTGTAGCTCCTAGAGGCTGACCGTCCTCTTGACCTCTTTAAAGTTTTTCCATCTTGCTGTCTTTTTGCTAGCAGTATTTAAAGATTTTTTAATGTTGTTCTCTGCTTTTAAATTGTTTTCCTCTTTAAGTATTTCCATATATTGCTACAAGATACTGGACATTCCTCCCTTTGCTACTTTCAGGGGAGCCTTTCAGTCTCTGTGATGACCCAGATTTTGGTAACAATGTACCATATTAAGAAACTGATTGGAAAGACTTTGGGTTTAAAAGAGGGATCGTTTTGCATGTATTTTACCCAATTTTGTGTGTATTTCTCTCACATTCCAAGAAGAGAATAGTAAGTCAAAATACTCATTTACACAAGTCTTTACAATCCACCTTTAGTTCCGTTATTTAATTTTATTATTTATGGTATTATTTTTTAAAACTTAAGCTTAGTCCTTTGGAAACTGGACCTGAAAAATGTTCACCTTTGGAAAAGCACTCCCTGGTGGGCACACCCCCTGGTCCTGGGTGGGCGGGAGTAAAAAGTAGAAAGGATGGGGCTTCCCTGGTGGCGCAGTGGTTGAGAGTCTGCCTGCCGATGCAGGGGACACGGGTTCGTGCCCCGGTCCGGGAAGATCTCACATGCCGCGGAGCGGCTGGGCCCGTGAGCCATGGCCGCTGAGCCTGTGCGTCCGGAGCCTGTGCTCCGCAACGGGAGAGGCCACAACAGTGAGAGGCCCGCATACCGCAAAAAAAAAAAAAAAAAAAAAAGTAGAAAGGGCATTGGAGTCCTTCCAGAGAAGAGACCCGCCCCAGGAAGTTGGGGAGAGGGGGGACAGATTCTGATCTGGAACAAAATGAATGAAAGGTGGTGCAGTTGAGAGAAACGGGGTGCTGTGCCCACAGGACATTTCAGGGTGATGCTGCCCCTGTAGTTGGCTAATACTGCAATTTTGAAACTTTAAAATTTTTTTATTAGTCAGTAGAATAGAACATTTCTAATATTTATTTCCCAAAACATCTTACTTAGGAGAGCAAACCAGCAATTTGATAGTTAGACTCAGGACTTTTATGGGTAAGAATTGATGATGGTCTCTTACAGAACCTTGTCCTCCTGGGGCAGATAAGTCGTTTTCTTTTAAATTGCTATGACGATGAGAAGTGACACCCATGCAGAGTCCCAGCATACACATCCCGTTTAGAATCAAAACCCAAATGAGACATTGGACGTTGTCCATGGTTTGGAAGTCATTCGCGTGTTAAGTGGAAGGATGCTACCTGTGTTGGTCTGCTCTTTCTACCTGTGTTGGGTCCAGTGAGGAGGCACCGGTCTTGTGCGTTTCACCCAGAGTGCCCTTGCTCCAGGCTGCATTCCTTACTGAGAAAGCCTCCAGAGGCTGGGACAGCCGGAGTCCTGGCCAGTCGGATTTCAGTGCTAGAACTTAAAATGGAGTTAAACACTTCCTTGCCAAGAAACCTTTGAAAGGCTGGTTTCTGGGTAAGAGAGCTTTTTCTTTCGGAAATAAACAGCTGTGTTTGGCAAACTATTTGACCTGCCCCAGCAGGGTCGATTTGCAAGTTCCCGAGCCTTTGCTGCCCGTGATCTGCCACGTTTTCATTTATAGGTTTTCCTTCCCTAGCGTTCATTTACTTAGCAAATATTTACTGAGTGTAGATCAGTTAAAACCCAGACGGCAGTCTCTGCCTTGTGGAGCTTCCATTCTAGTGGGGGTAGAAAGGCAGACTGTGGGCACTAAACATGATGAGGCGGTAACCATATCACCCATCTGAAGGGTGGAGGAATGGAGCAGGGTGGGGGCTGGGGTTGGGACTTTACGAGAGCGGGCCTCGTGGAGAAGGGCCGAGGGGTCACGGCGGAGCGAGGTCAGGAGAGAAGCACGGGGGACTAAGCCGCAGAAGTGCGGCCCTCACACCATCCTGGGGACTCTGTGAACGGGACACCTTAGAGGGCTCTGAGCAGAGGAGCCACTGCTGCGGTGGGGGTGAGGGGCTGCCCAGGAGGAGGTGGCCAGCTGGGCGTGTGTCTAGTGACCCCTGCTGGTGGTACGGAGAAAGGGCATCGTTGGATTTCAGTTGTGCCTCCTACAGAGTGATCGATTGCATCATTTGCATCCAAGATAAACCATACTTTTTTTTGTTGTACGAAAACACAAAAACAAGATTCCCTATCTTGCAGGAAATGTGTGGCAGTGTGAGTGAATTACTGTTGAATCAGGGAGTAGGAGAGATTCTTGGGTCCTGTATTAGATCCCTGTGTCTTCTGCGTTGTAGCTTTACTTAGAATAAAAGAAAAGACGTAGAATAGAAATAGAGTTATTCTGTTTAGTAAAACGCCTGGCGTAAAGCGCCACATGCTTCCTAAGTAAGGGCTCCTCATCGCTTCTTGGGGGAATCTTAATTACAGGTTTTTCAGTGGATCACTTACTTAGCTTATCTGAGCCAGTGTCCAAGGTTCTGAGATTGATTGGACTTTTTAATTTAAAAGTAGAGGCCAATTCCTTTTTTTAATGGATGAAAGCAGGTCATTTTATTTATTTCTGACGTTGTACGGTTTCTTCTAATTAACTTTTTTGAAGAGTAAATTTCAAATTTTAAAAGGATTTCAGTTGAAGAGAGAGAAAATTAAGACTTTTCATTCTCAAAGCAGAATAGAAAACAAATATCAATACATGTTAAAATTGGTAAAGATATAAAAGAAGGAAGCAGTTCTAAGATTATATCAAGACTCTGGACAGACAAGCCGTGTTTGAAAAAAGAACCAAAGATACCCTCCAGAAATGAAAGAGCAGGGTCACGCAAACAAAAAGCTGGCAGGTGGGCGAAGCAGCGTAATAGCTGAAGGTGGAGTTGGCACCTGGCAGGGGGATGCGGGCCCAGAACTGAGCGATGCCCACACACATGTGATCTGAGTCTCAGAAGGAAAGAATAGCAGGGGTGGAGAAGAGGTAGTTACTGCAGAAATGCAGGCTAGGAGTTCCCGGAGTTCCCGGAGTACGTGAAACTCCAAGAAACCCAAGGCCAGAGCTTTCAAACTCCCAGAGTTGGACACATCATGGGAATTTCAGGACAGCAAAGTCAAAGAGGAGAGTTGTAGAAGCGACCAGTGCAAGCAGAGGGACAGCCAAGAGCCTGACAACACGCTGACAGTGATGGTGGTGGAGACGTTCCTGTGGGGAAATCCTGGTCGGCCTAGAAATCTACACCAAGTAAGTGAGTGCGATTAAACCCCTCTCCGGTCTAAGTTGGACAGTTTCTGTGCGAAGGTTCCTGCTGAAATAAATCCCGGAGGAGGTACTCCAGACAGATGGAGAGGGAGCTCGGGAGATGGAGGAGGTTTGCAAGGCATAGGTCAGCACGGAAATGGGTGAACAAGCATCGTGACTACCGTGGGGAACGCAGAAGGAGGAGCCAGACGCTAGCAATCAGCGTGTAACCCACGATGGCGCTGACCAGAGTGTGTTTAAGTGGGAGCCAAGGACATGTGTTAACTTCAGACTTTACTGCAGCAAAGGTGTGTGTTAAAGATTTAAGAATAGAAATAGATCTCAAACCCTCCAAATAAATACCAGGCAAAAGGGGAATAAAAGAAAACCCTTGTCCAACATGAAAGAGGCAGAAAAGAGGGGAGGGAGCCCAGCAGTGACTGGAAATGATCGCACGTGGCGCTCGCCCAACGTGGAAGAGGCAGAAAAGAGGGGAGGGAGCCCCGGCAGTGACTGGAAATGACCGCATGTGGCGCTTGCCCAACATGAAAGAGGCAGAAAAGAGGGGAGGGAACCCCGGCAGTGACTGGAAATGATCGGCAGTGACTGGAAATGATCGCACGTGGCGCTCGCCCAACATGAAGGAGGGCAGAAAAGAGGGGAGGGAACCCCGGCAGTGACTGGAAATGACCGCACGTGGCGGAGGGGGTTACCCGCCGCTGTTGGCAACCAGGGAATGTGAACAGGCAGACGCACCAGTGAAAGAGAGACTGCGATTTGATTTCTTTCTGGCTGTGTGATGTGTAAGAGACACGTCCAACACACGATGGCATAGAAAGGTTGAAAGCAGGGTCGTGGAACCAAGCGGTGGTTCAGTATCAGCCACGAGGAAGCCGCACCCGTGGGGTTCTCGTGCCGGAGCTATGGGGACTCACACTGGGTGCAGGTCAGACAGCCAGCCGGGCGAGAGAAAGACTCAGTGAAGAGCAGGTGTCTGCGCCCAGCCCCGCTCACACCAAGGAGCGTTCCTAAAACCGACAGTCCGAGCAGACACCCAAGGAGATATGTACCATAAAAACCACATTCTGTGGCCACAGTGAGTAAAACTGGATGGGAATAACAAAAAAGTACAACTTTTCGGGGGAAACTTAAAAATATTTCTAAGTAATTTATGGGTCAGAGAAGTATCTGTAATCCAGTGATAATGAACAGCCCACATACTTGTGCTGGTCGACCCGAGAATACGGTGTGAAACCCAGGAGAAGAACAGGATAAACCTCAAGAAAGTAAAAGGAAGTAAATGACAAAGAAAAACGCAGGAGCAAGTGGTTTCTAGGAAGGGCCAGTGGAGCCGTCCAGCAAAACACACAGGGCGTGTGTGCGTGACTGGTCGAGTAGACGAACCTCTGGGAAGGTTAATTAAAAAGACAAAACAAGTGTCCGGGAGGATGAAGAGTGCGCCGCAGCAACTACGAGGTCTAGAACATACGATGTCACGGGTGACTTTGTGCCGGACATTGAACACTTAGGAGACGGCGCCCTAGAGGATGACCGGGTGAGAAACATGGAGTCCACGCCGGCCCTGCCAGGTGCCCGGTGCCAGTGGGGGAGACGCTGCCCCCAGCCCTCCACGTGCACACGCTCCTAAACACCGGCTGAGCAAGCAGAGTAGAATCCAGGCTTCCTGTTGTCATCCCAGATGTGGTCTTGAGGAGCCCCGCGTCCTGCAGAATCCTGCCCCGAAGATGCCAGGGCTCTGGGAAAGGAGGGTAAGAGCGGACATGGGAATCGTGGGGCCTGCAGAGGTGAGCACAGCCTGCCCCAACCTGCCCCACGGGCACCCAGCTCTGGAGCACTGCGTTCCCGAGTGCAGAGTTCTGAGGTCGACCACCTGCCCCGGAGGAAGTCCGTCGGGGGCCTGGGGGAGAGCAGGGCTGCCGGTGCCCCGAGGGAGCGAACGTGTGCCCACGGCCTCGTCCCTCTGGGGGCTCCCGGCCAGCCCACCTCACCCAGCTCTCCTGGCTCGCCAGCCACACTGGCCACGTCTGTGCACAAGAAGCCATGCGTGGACTCGCTCGGGGGATGAAAGTTTGCCTTTTGCCTTGACTGTTTGCCTCATCTGTGCTTTCTCCCTGCAGTGAAGATCGTGATCCGAGGGGACAGGAACACGGGCAAGACAGCCTTGTGGCACCGGCTGCAGGGCAAGAAGTTCGTGGAGGAGTACATCCCCACACAGGAGATCCAGGTCACCAGCATCCACTGGAGCTACAAAAGTGAGGGCGGCGGGGGGCGGGGCTTCCGGGGCCTGCTGGGTAGGGGTCTTCCTCCCGTCGCCCTCCCCCAGCCTGGGGTCGTCACTGGAACACCGCACACGCGTGAACTCGGGGGCTCATCAAAGCCGCTTTGGGGTGGCCCTGAAGTCCCCTGTCCCGTGGGAGACTTGGTCCACCTGGGGAGCGGGGCCAGAGGCCTGGACCTTCGGACGTCCCAGGGGCAGAGCCTCCGGGCAGGGACCATCCCGGCCACAGCGCGTGCTGGGCCCCGGCAGACAGAGGCCCCTTGGGCCTTGGAGCCCAGCTCTTGGCGGCAGTTGTGAAGTGCCAGTCCCCACAGGGTCCTGGGAGGGGGTTTGTTGGCGAGATTGCCTGATGGCAGGCACCTCCACTCCGCTCCTGGGGGACAGCGGCCACGGGGCGCCCTGCTGGGAGGGAGAGAATCCACTCTGCGTGCTCAGGAGCCAGAAAGCAAACGACCTTTGAGCCATTTTAAACATTCCTTTTCGTTGAAAAAAACAATCCAGCGGGCCAACAGCAGGACACACGGGCCTTTGTAGAAGTTCCGACTCGCTCCTAGGGACGGCCAGGCCGCGACGTAGGACAGCTGTGTGGATTCGTGCTGCCCTGCCCACCAGCTGCACAGGGAAGCCTCACCCCCTAGGGCACCCCTTCCCGGTCTGGGGTGAAGTCAGTGGGGACAGCGCACTTCTTGTGCCCTGCAGCTTGGTGGCAGGTGCCCGGCAGGTGCCCGGCAGTTGCCCGCCTCTCCCCTTTCCCCACGGAATCCCTGGGGTGGTGGGTGGACCCGCTGACGGCCTGGGCATGTGCACAGGCCCTGACGCCAGACTGGCCCATCCCAGAGCCTGCTGCCCTGGCCCCCCGCAAGCAGCGGAGCAGAGGCCTCTGCCAAGGAGCAGGGCAGAATCACTGGGACTGGGCCTTCCCGCAGAAGCCGGGGGGCCAGCGGGGGCCGGGTTCAGGCTGGGTGGGAGCCTGCCCCAGGGACCCTTCAGGATACGGGGTCGTGTCAGCGGAGGAGGTGTCCAGATTGTTCCCTGCCTTCCAGGGAGGGGGTGTCCTGGGCACAGCACCCGCCAGCCTGGGCGGGAGCAGGGGCCCTTGGGGAGGCGCCGAGTGGGGACAGTGACATCCGCGCGGCCCGTCTTTGAAACCGGAAGTTCACGCTGGATGCTCATCTTACTGTTTCCCCCCTGTTTTAGCCACTGATGATATCGTGAAAGTTGAAGTCTGGGATGTAGTTGACAAAGGTAAGTCAGATCCTTCTATGAGTGCGCTTTTCTCTTTCAAGCTTTGCTTGTGCTGTGGAGGAGGACAGCTGTCCTCTCTCCCTCGCTGGCGGCCCCTCCTCTGCCGCCTCCTGGCGCCTCGTTCCCTTGACTCTGGTTCCTGGGCACAGGGGCCATCGGAGGCCTGGCTCTGTGCTGACCGTGCCGTCGGGTTCCGGGTGTGTGGTCCAGGATGGAGCGCCCGGTGCCGACCAGTCGGGGCACCATGGTCTTTGCTCTTGAAACACCTGTTCCACCCACGTGAGCTGAGCACGTGGCCATGGAGGGCAGACACGGACCACACCCAGAGGCTCTGTGAGGCTGTTCAGGGAGCCCTTCCTGCAGCACCGTGGGTGTAGCAGCCCACTTGTTCCTGCCCCTGGGCCCAGGGCCAAGGGTCCTTGGCTTCTGAGGTGGCTTGAGCTTTTGGGGACCCCAGCACGCACACAGACCCCAAACGGCCGTGCCTGTGTGCAGGCGGGCCGGGGTGGGGGCGTGGCACGTTTGCCCCCAGCGTCTCATCCCATTCATCTCCTCCTCGCACACAGGCCACAGGCCCCTCCTGTGTGATGCTCGTGTTCCTTCCTGTGGCCAGTGCCCTGTGCACACCGTGGTCTGGCCTCGCAGGTTTGACCTCCGACCCCCAGGCCCGGCCTCGGACCCCGCAGGCCTGCTATAGCTCCTCCCGTCCTTCAGGGACAAAGGGACATTGTCTTCTACGAGCTTGTGATTTCTGATGCAGGACACGCGCTCTCTCCCACACCACGTTCTTTGGAGGTGGGTTTGGGTTCCAAGGACCCATCGAGCCAGGTGAGGATGCTGCTACCCTGGGCCCGAGCACCACGCTGGGGTTACTGCCCCCAGGATGCTTTAAACCCCACGGGGCCTGGAGGGGCCTCGTGCTCCAAAGCGTGCTTGCACTGCATCCTGTGTGCGTGTGGCCGGGTAGCACTAGGAAGCAGCCCCTTGCAGCCCAGCCGCCATCCTGGATGTGAGGGGGAGCCGTCGCTCGGGCCAGGCTGCCCTCCGTGCCCCGGCACATCCCTCACGCCTGCCCCGCGTGCCTGGCTCCGACTCCCTGGGTCTGCACTCATTCGGGACGGGATGCACATGTCCAGAATGGGCTCTGTCTTTGCTGACGGGACCCCTTCCATGCAGTAGCATGTCGTGTCTTCAGTGGGGGGAACGGCCTCATGGTACAGAGGCAGGCACTGCCCTGTTCTGGGAACCTCCGAGCACCCCACTTCCCACCCATGGAAGGGCGGTGATGGGCTGGCCACAGTTCCCTGGGTGGCTGTTCACCACAGAGCTCCTTGCGGCGTGGAGAGGAGGCTTGCTCGTGTGCTGGCGGCCAGGGGCAGGAGCAGCATTCCGTACGAGCGTTCAGCATCCCCACGGCTCCGTCATCTGGTGCCTCTCGGGTGGGAATCTGCAGAGTGGGAAGGAAACGTGCCTTCTCTACCACCCTGACTGGTCCCCTGTTGGACACGGTCCGAGGCTCGTCCACAGCAGCAAAGGGCATCGAGTTGGAGGGGGGTGGCAGCGGCTGAGAGATGGTGCCCCTCATGGCGGGCGTGGGCGCGGCGTAACTCTGGCTGCCCGGCCCTCCCCCCAGGAGCACCAGCCCAGGTTCCGCTCTGCTCGCAGCTGGGCGGTGGTGGCACGTCCTGGGCTTCGGCCACACCTGTCGGCAGTCGTGGTGCTCGGGCCTCGACCCCATGGCCCCAGGCATCCACTGGGAGGGCGCGAGGTGGCCAGCATCTGTTGAGCTGGGGGCACCTCCAGAGACGGGATCAGAGGGTGGTGAGAGGTTCTGGGAGAGGCTGTGGAAGAGGCAGAGGGCGGCCTTCTAATAAACGAACCCCGGTTTGTTGGTTTCACCCAGCCCACTGCTCTGAGACTGAGGGCCCCGGGACCCTAGGGTGATGAGTGGTCCTTTCTCCCCTGTCAGAAATGTCTGAGATGGAGGGAAGGGAGGCTGGGCATGGGAGCTCTTACTGCTCAGGTGGTTCCACGGCTTCCTGGCCCCAAGCCCAGCTCGTCCACCCTCAGCACCGGCTCAGGGAGCCTCCGTGGCCTCCCTGGGGTCCTGGCCGTGTCCTGCCCTAGGGTCCTGGCGGCTCCAACCCCAGCCCGTAAGGCACCTACTGGAGGCGGGGGCAGGGACATGGGGGGCAGTGGGACACAAGGAGGGGCTGCTACCCCCTCAGGCCATCCTTGGGCCCAGCATTTCCACCCCGTGACTTTGTGTCTTTTCTTAAGGAAAATGCAAGAAGCGAGGCGATGCCTTGAAGATGGAGAATGAACCCCAGGAGGTGAGCTGCATCTGTTCCCACGTGGCCCACTATTTCGGGTGGGGGGTTGTGAGCAGGCATCTGTTCTTCAGACCCCTCTGCCTCCTGCCTGGCCCGGCCCTCCTGAGGACTCCGTCTGTGCTGGGGGACTCAGGCGGACTCAGTGGCCGCCCCCGTGCTGCCCTTGGTCGCGTTGGGGTGGCTGGGGTCACCTGAGCTGCTGCTCTGTGTCAGGGATGCCCGCCAGACCCTACTCGGAGTTGGGGTGACCTGAGAGGTATTTAGGTGAAGTGACCAAATTTTATATCCGTGTTACAAAGGCCTCAGCCATTAAAAGCATAGGCATACCTTCAGGTGTGGCCCCAGGCACACGTGGGCCTGAGTGTGGCTCCGAGAGGGCTCTCACCACGGCCGCCACCTCGACACAAAGAATTCAGGGGCCAGCTGCAAAGCTTTCTGACGGCTTCCAAGGGCCCTTCTCTCCGCGTCCTCCTGTCCATAGACGGCCTCCTGACGGCGGGCAGCCTTTAGGGTTCCCTTTTAGGATAGGAAGATCCAGTGACCGCCTGGCCCAGGTCTGTGTGGTCTTTGTGGGCATGTTGCCACCGCCCCCAGCACCACAGCCTCCCTGGTGTGTGTGCTCTGGAAGGTTCTCTGGGACACGCATCCTCAGCTCTGCAACGCATTTCTTCAGCTCAGTTGTCCCAGCAGTGGAGCGTCTGTGAGCCCCAAGGTCAGGACGCTGCCGACGGCCAATGCGGGAGACCCTCAGTTGAGGGCAGGCACGATGTGGCCTCCACTCCAGATAACCTTGCGTCTATGTTTTTTTTCCCTAAAATGAAAATAGCCATTGTCTTTTCAGTTGTAAAAGTCCTGTTCAGCCTTTCCCAGGAGCTGGCGGGTGCTCACCTGTGGGACCTGGCCTGGGGCACCGTCTCTGAGGCCCGATTCCCTCATCCCTAGGCGGAGTCCGAGATGGCCCTGGATGCCGAGTTCCTGGACGTGTACAAGAACTGCAACGGGGTGGTCATGATGTTCGATATCACCAAGCAGTGGTAAGGGCGCTGGCCTGCGAGGGCGTCCAGGAGGGCACTCAGTGCTTCTTGAGGGCTGGCCGTGGGCAGTGTGCACGCCGGCCATTCAGCCACGCTGTTCCCTGGGGGCGGAAGCTAAGGCGGGTCTCTCCCCACATGGCGCCTCCCAAGGACCTTCAACTACATTCTCCGGGAGCTTCCCAAAGTGCCGACGCACGTGCCTGTGTGCGTGCTGGGGAACTACCGCGACATGGGCGAGCACCGCGTCATCCTGCCCGACGACGCGCGAGACTTCATCGACAACCTGGACAGGTGGGTGCCAGCTCGTAGGCGCGGCTGCTGCGGTCGGCCTGTCCGCCTGGGACGCTCCTGCTTGCGCCCTCCTCTGCCTCGAGCCCTGGCCGCCCACCCAGCTGCACGGCCCCGGCTCCCCAGGTGCACCAGCTCTCCCGGCTTCCCTGCCCCGCCTGGCCTGCACCCTGCTCCTCCGGGATGGGGACGCAGACCTGGAGGGTGGGGTGTGGGCGGGCAGGACCGAGGGTGGGCACCTGGCTTCCTGGCACCGAGCAGTCCCAGGTGCCAGGTGGGGGCGGCCTCCCTCCATCTCTGAGGCCGGGGCCAGGCACTGGGGATGGTGCATCGAGGTCCTGCCAGGGCAGGCAGGCAGCACCTTCCTGGTCCAGGCATCCCCTGGTGGGCGCCCGGCTAAGCGGAGCCCTCTGAACTTCAGGTCTCCTCCTGTGGACCGTGAGCCCGTCACCCACAGGAGGCGACTCAGCCCTGCAAGGGGGTTCTGGCGCCAAGGGTGGCCCGGCCCAGGGGGCCAGGCCACGCCGCCCGCTGCCACCACCGTGTCTCATGTCTCCGTGCTTTTCATGAACAGGCCCCCAGGGTCTTCTTACTTCCGCTACGCCGAGTCCTCCATGAAGAACAGCTTCGGGCTCAAGTACCTGCACAGGTTCTTCAACATCCCATTCCTGCAGCTCCAGGTGAGCCCTGCTGGCAGGGTGCAGGGGGTGGGGCTTGGATATGCCAGGGCCGCTGTGGCGCAGGGACGGGGCCCGAGCGGGCGGGCAGCTTGGTGGTTTGGTTGGAACGAGGCCATCAGTTAGGATACCATGTGCGGGTGCTGGCGGCCCCTGGATGGCCCACCCTGTCCCCTCCCCTTGCCTGGTGGTCTGGGGCCTGGGCCCTTCTGGAGCCATGGACCCACTAGCTGCGGGAGAACATGGGTGTCCTTGCACGTTCTTCCCGGGAGCTGCGACCCTCTGCGCTGACCCCTGCTGGGGCCCTCATGTGTCCTTCCTCACCGAGGAGGTGCACTCGGCCCCGGCACCCAGATCAGGACGCCTCGGATCCTCCCTGTGTCCGTGCCGCTGTGTCCCCGCTGTGGACCTGGCCCCTCTCTGGCGACAGGTGCCGGGATGGGCCCGAGAAGCCCCTGCCCTCCTCCCCCTACTGTGCAGCCCTTTGCTCTTGGCGTTATTGACCTTCGTATTTGGGAACAGTTGTAGGTTTGCAGAGAGCGCAGAGGGTTCCGTGCCCCGGTTCAGTTCCCCGATTGCAGCCTCATGTTTCCACGGTGTTCCCATCAAGACCACAGAACCAGGCTTTGTCGGCACCTCCCGCCGGCCCTCTGTCCTGGGCCTCACCCAGCCCACCCCACACGTAGTGGTCACTCTTCCTTGGCTGTGCTGGGCTGTGAAGGTTCTTCAGACGTGCCTGGCTCAGGGTCTGTCTGACCTCAGATGGATGATGGGCTTTTGTGCGCGAGACCCCAGAGGTGACTGCCCTGCTCATCACATGGCGGGGACACGTGTCACCCACACGGCTTGTCACTGGGACATTGACCCGTGGCCCTTCTCCAAAACGATGTAGAAACTTACTCGGGCGAGCAGCTGTCTTTCCTTTCCTCTAGCCTTCTTTTGAAGGGATGAGGCCTCTGCAGGCCAGGGCAGCGGGCGTTTTCAGGGTGTCCAGACCTCGCAGACGTGCTGGCCACCCTTTCCTGGGTGTTGATCCACGTCGCCTGAAGGAGTCCCTTTAACTTTCTGTCCAAGTAAAACGTGCACACAAATCGCAGGAAAACACCCGCAGCATGGGTTGGGGGGTGGCATCGGGCAGGATGGAAGCTGGAAGCCGCTGCTGGTGCTGAGCCTGGGGCTGGCAGGAAGCGCGTGGTTTTCAGCAAGTGTTGGGGCTTCTTACACTTTGGGGTACCTTGTGTGAACAGGGCGCTGTCTCTCTGGGCGGTTCGCTCGCATCACGACCTCTGCCCCTGGAGCCCTGCAGAGCAGCCGAGGCATCATGCCCCCCTGGGCAAGGCCATGCGGGCTCCCGGCTCCAGGCACTCAGCTTCAGGTGGTTTTGTCCATCAAGGGCCCGCCGAGAGGGGCGCCAGGCTGAAGGGGTGGCTCACTGCAGCGACGGTCCCGGCTCAGGTGTCTGCTTCCTTTCTGTAGAGAGAGACGCTGCTGCGGCAGCTGGAGACGAACCAGCTGGACATCGATGCCACGCTGGAGGAGTTGTCCGTGCAGCAGGAGACCGAGGACCAGAACTACGACATGTATGTCGGCCGCGGCTGCCCTCAGCGTTTAGACCCTGCAGGCGGGGCTCTGCGGGCAGGTGGCACGTGCACCCTGTGGGCCAGGCCTCCCTCTGAGCTCGGGTGTGCGCTCAGTGGGCCCGCAGCCTGAGTGCCACCCACCCGGGTAGATCTGTCCGCGTGGAGGTGTGTTGCTCAAAGAAATCGAGTCATTTCAGCTTTGAATGTGGTCCAGGCCCCATGGGAAGGGGACGAGGGTGGCTCTCGCTGCGCTGTCAGGCCTCAGCTCTTCCTGGGAAGCAGATACCGGGCCCCTGCTGGCCCTGAGGATGTGAGGTTGGACACCCCAGGGCCCTGCCGCCCCCGCCCACTGAGCACTTCGGGCCCGGCCTGCTTTAACCGGGTGTGACGGGCACACAGTGTGGCCGGCAGTTCACGGAGGTGCTTCTGCAGCTGCTGTCCCCAGACAGCTGCGTGCCTTGCGGGGGTGGAGGGAACACGGCATGCAGGCCCGGTGCGGCTGTAGGCGCTCTAGCTGCCCGGCCCCCGCCTGCCTCTGTCCAGACCGGCCCGCCTGTTGGCCACCTGGCATGCAGAAGGGGGAGCCGCTGACCCGGCCACGTGTCCACCGCAGGCCCCAGCAAGACCGGCCACCCTGGCGTTTTCCAGCCGAGGCCCCGTCCCTGTTTTGACATAGGTTTCCGAGGTTGATGCCAGTGGAGAGAGCTCCTTGACCTTGGGAAGGCGTGTTGGGTGGGAACGAAATCTCCTGGCCCTTGATAGTGGAGGAAGGGGCGTTGTCCTGGCACTTCCAGCAGGACGGCCGAGCGGGCGGGGAGCAGCCCCCGGGCAGGCCCTCCTCTGCCGTTGCAGGGTCTTGGGGCGCCCAGAGCAGGTAGCAGGCCCGTCCGCCTTCCACAGCTCGTGGGGGAAGGCCTAACCCTGAACCACCCCTAAAAACAGGTGCTTCCTTTGTTTGGTTGAATTATCCAAATGTTGGGGCTGGGGGGTGGGGCGCAGGCTGCTGCCCCACCTGTGCTCACGGCCTGGAGCACGGGCTCTGGCTACGGCCCAGGCAGGACCCTCGCACCTCCCAGCTGCCCCAGAGGGACTCGAGGAAGGGCCTTTGGGTCTCCCGAGAAAGATCCAGCTGCTGGTCCTGGAACAGAGAGAGGGGGGGCAGCAGGAGTTATTCTGGGGGTGGGTTCACCTGCTCCGTCTGCCAGGCTGGCCTCGCTGTGGACACCACCCTGGGGCTGACCAGCTCCTGCAACGTGTCCTCTGACGGAAAGCTTGGGCGCCCGGCGTCACCAAGCATAGGGTCCCTGGTGAGGTGGCATCTGGAGCCTCCCCACAGCGTCCGCCCCCAGCCAGCCCCCGGGACCAGGCCATTGGAAGAAGGCGGCGCCATGTGGGGGCTCAGCTGTGGTGTCCCTGTGACCTCCCCTGAGCAGCTGGGGGACCGGACGAGGTCTGGGGCAGATCCGCTCCCAGCCTGCGCCAGGACCCAGTGCCTTGCCCGTCCTTCCTCCCACCCCCCACCCCCTCGCCGAAATACCAACCTAGAGGTGAGGCCGGCCGGCCCAGACGCCCCAGTCCCCCGGGACCCTGGCCCACAAGCACAGGCCGGCTCTCCATTCCACACCTTCTGTTTGAAAGCCCACCCCACGGGAGGAGGGCCCTGCTACAGGCCTAGGTGACACCAGGGTCCTCAGCCAGTGGGACAGTTGGGCCCAGGCTGCCCGGGTCTAGGCCCCTCCCTGTCTGGGAGGGTTGCAGCCTGTCCCTGTAGGTGGGTTCTAGAAACAGGGTCAGGGGGCATAGGGCGGGGGCACAGCAAAGCCTGCCTGTCCGCACACGCGCACCTGCACACGCGCACCCTTCCCCTTGCGGGAAGAGACTCCCAGCCAGGGTTTGTGTTCGCACCTGTCACCCTCCGCCCTGGGGGCGCTTGCAGTGTTTGCCACCAGCCTGCGCTGGGAAACCTCCTGGAAAGGCAGGTAGGGGCTCTGAGCCTGAGAGCGGGGACACCCCGTCCCCACCAGCACAGCAGCAGCAGCCTCTGAGGAGCCTCAGAGGAGGAGGCGCGGGGAGGTGGCTTTCTCACCCCTTGCCCTGTTTGCCCCCAGCTTCCTCGAGATGATGGAGGCCCGCAGCCGTGGCCACGCGTCCCCGCTGGCCACCAACGGGCAGAGTCCATCCTCGGGCTCCCCATCTCCTGTGGTGCCTCTGAGTGCAGTGTCCACGGGGAGCTCCAGCCCCAGCACACCCCAGCCGGCTCCGCAGCCGCCCCTCCAGGCCCCCTCGGCTTGCCCGGGGCCCCCCTGCCCCTCGGAGGCGCCGCCAGCCCCTGCACACCCCCTGGTCCCCGCCGCACCCCCGCGACGCAGCATCATCTCGCGGCTGTTCGGGACCTCGCCGGCGGCCGAGGTGGCCCCTTCACCCCCAGGTAGGCCCCAGAAGCAGCCCTCGGGAGGTGGGGCACAGCCCTGTCTCCCTGGCCCCGGGAGCCCTTGCCGGCCAGGATGGGGTCCCCCTTCTTCCTGCTGGGCAGGCAGCCCCACAGCCTAGCCACACAGCATCCTGCTTGTGGCCCAGCCTGGGGTGGACCCGGCTGGGCTGGGCGCTGGGCAAGAGTTGGTGCCTGCTGTCCACAGAGCCGGCCCCAGCTTCAGAGGCCCCGGCAAGAGTCCAGAACGTGGAGGACTTTGTTCCTGACGACAGTCTTGACCGCAGCTTCCTGGAGGACGTAGCCCCCCCAAAGGATGAAAAGAAAGTTGGAGCCAAGGTCCCGCAGGACAGTGACAGGTAAGGGCGGGGCCTGGGAGGCAGGCGGGTAGCTGCTGCCGTCCTCAGCCTTGGCCCTCGGCCCGTCCGGTGCGGACTCTGCTGCCTCCCTGGCACTGGGCGGGCGGAGGGGACAGGCACCCCATCTGGGCTCTGGGGACAGAAGCAGAGCTGGGCCTGAGGAGCTGAGGGAAGGGCAGCCTCACACCTGCAGGGGGGAGCAGGGAGCCGGTGACCCGCCTGTCGGCGGCATCTTCCTGTCAGTGACTTCCTTGGGCTGATGCCGCTTGAGAGCCTTGGCCGGGTGGAAGGAGGAATCCTGGGGCCAAAGAGCTGCTGTCAGCTTCTCCCGCAGCAGGTGGCCGGTCAGGGCCGCACGGGAGAGGCTCGAGGCCCGGCGCACACTCTCCCTTCCCAGTGCTGAGCCCGAGTGAGGCCCGCCGTTCCGCCTCCACCATCACCGCGTGTCCCAAAGTGCAAAATACCAGGCCGAAGCCAGCACTGTACCCCTGCCAAGGGAGGGCCCCGGCATCACTGAGCCCCTCATCACCCTGGGCCCCATACCCCTCACCCCACCGCCCCACGGGAGGGCACCCACTTCAGGTGTCCACCCGCGGGCCCCGCCGTGGCTTCCCGCCGCACAGGGGCATCTCTGTCCTCTCCTCAGCCCACCTCACGCCTGCTCTCCTGTCGACCTCTGCCACAGCTCTGCTGCAATGTGGTGGGTCCCCTACACAGGACAGCCCCCAAGGCCACCCTCGAAGTGTGTCCCCCTTTGCTGCGTCCACGCAAGGGTGGACAACCCCGCCGTCAGGGCCCTTGCCTGGCACAGAGCCGCCTGGTGATCAGGGTGGGCGCTCCGTACCCCACTCGTGACCTCTGACTGCCCTGCCTGTCCTTTGCAGTGATGGGGAGGCCCCAGGAGGGAACCCAATGGTGGCGGGTTTCCAGGACGACGTGGACCTTGAAGATAAGCCGCCTAGTAGGCCCCTGCCACCCACGGGCCCCATCCCCAGCGAGCACATCACTCTGTCCAGCGAGGGGGAAGAAGAGGTGGCAGCAGGGCGCCACGAGGCCACCGTCCTGGCCCCCCAGAAGTGCTCTGAACCAGGGACCAAACGGTATGTTGGGGGTGGGAAGGAAGGGGTGTCCCGCGGGGAAGGGCAGCCTCAGGCTCCGTGACCCTCCTGTGTGTCCTGCAGTTCCTCCACGAAGGCCTCGAGGCCACACCAGGATGCAGCTCCCAAGGCCACAGAGCCCCACTGGCCAGGCGGCACCGAGGGCTCCTCTCCGGGGCTGGAGGACGGAGGGGACAAGCAGGTGTCATCAGAAAGTGACCCCGAGGGGCCTATTGCTGCCCAGATGCTCTCCTTCGTCATGGACGACCCTGACTTTGAGAGTGACTCAGATACTCAGCGGAGAGCGGTGAGGACCGATCTTGGCACCACGCTGCCTCCGAGTCCAGGGCGAGGGGTGGGTGGGGAATGGCAGAAAGGCACGGGAGGCACGAGAACGCAGCAGGGGTCTCGCGGGGCGTGAGTCAGGGCAGCCTGGCTGAGCCGGGAGGGCTGCCCCGTAGGGGGCTGCGTGTGCCAGGCCCAGGCTGCCCCCATTCTGGGGAGGATGTGGTGGGGGACCTCGGCGTCACGGCTACCCCGCTCGGGCTGTCGTCACTCTGGGTGAGCCCATGGTGCGGGGCGGCACAGGAGCCACCTTACGGAGTCATGGGACAGGGAACTGGGGAGAGGCTCAGCGGCCCACCTGCCCGCTCCTTCTCCAGGGTGAGTTCCCGGTGCGAGAGGACCTCTCGGACGTGACAGATGAGGAAGCCGGCCCTGTCCAGCCGCCCCCGCCCCCCAAACCCCCTGCCCCCTCCTTCAGACTGAAGAACGACTCGGATCTCTTCGGGTTGGGGCTGGAGAACACAGGCCGCAAGGAGAGCAGCGAGGAAGGTAGCTGCGGGGCGCCACGCCTGCCCCTCCCTCCCCGTCCAACAGCGTCGGCACTGGTGACTTGTACTGTGTCCCAGCCAGGGGCCATGTTTCTGACCCCCTTACCTGTGCCTTTGAACCTGGGGGCCCCAGAGCACAGGAGCACAGGGGCGCAAGCAGCGAGGCCATCCCGCGGGGCCAGAAGCCCAGTCCCTTCTTTTTTCTCTGTCCTGCTCGGGGTCCAGCTGTGTTCTGACGACATCCCAGGCTTTCAGGCCAGGACCAGGCTGAAAGGATGGGCAGCTGAGGCAGCTGACCGAGTGGCCACAGGGGAGGCGTTTGGCGGCGTGGGCAGCGCTGCTGCAAGCTCTCCTGAACCCTCAGTCCGGCCCTGCGTTGCTGAGCCCCCACGTGCTCCATGACGACCCTGGCCAGCTCCACCGCTCCCTGCCTCATCCCCAGCCTCCAGCCTGGGCAGCTCGAGCCCAGCAGCGTCACCTGGGCCGGTCCTGGAACTGCCTGGTCCCCAAAGTGGGGAGGAAAGGACCTTCCTGGGCCTGTCTTGGTGCTGAAGTGGCGGCCCGTGCGGCTCCTGCTGCCTTTGTAGCCAGGGCCCCACCCAGACCCAGGGCAGAGGCCTGAGGTGCTGGGCGTTCACTCTGGGCTGTGCTCACGCTGGGACCCCGGCTCAGGGCCTCTGCTAGACCCGCCCACTCCCAGGCTCACACCAGTCCGGGAGGCCCGGGGAGGGCCTGGCCTCTGGTCCACGGGGAGCTGAGGCTGCGTCTTATCCGTGCAGATAAAGAGGGCAGGCCTCCCTCGAAGGAGAAGAAAAAGAAGAAGAAGAAGGGCAAAGAGGTACACACGCTCCCTGAGCCCTCCCGGGTGCCCCTGGGCAGCGTGGGCCCCAGGGCGGGCCCAGCTCTCCCAGCCCCCGGGTGACGCTGCACGTCCCTCCCGCCCCCCAGGAGGAAGAGAAGGCCGCGAAGAAGAAGAGCCGGCGGAAGAAGAGCAGGGACCAGGCGGAGGACAAGTGTCGGGAGGAGCGGCGGCGGCGGCGGGGCACAGAGAGGCCTGCGGTCGACGAGCTGGAGGCCTTCCTGGGGGGCGGGGCCCCGGGCGGCCACCTCCGCGGCGGCGGCGATTACGAGGAGCTCTAGGCCTGGCGCGCAGACCGCAGGGCGCTCCGCGTGTGCTGGGGGCGCTGGGCCTGCCCTGCGGGGAGGGGCAGCCGGCCCCCAGCGCTTCTCAGGGATGGGACTGAGGCCGAGGAAGCCCGTGAGGCTGTTTGCAGGGGTGGGGCGCTGTTCCCATCGCCTGCCCGGCCCCTACTTGCCCTCGGCGCGCCGCACGCACTCACCCAGGCCCGCTGCATGCAGCGGCCTCCGCTTCAGCTGCCCCGGCTCTGCAGACCTCTGGTCCTCAGACCCTTGGGGCACCTGTGCACAGAGGGCAGGCGGCGCTGGCGCGTCCCTGGGGGCAGCCCTTTCCAGACACGGCGACCGGCTTTGCACCCGCACCTGAGCTCGGGCGTGCGCGGGCCAAGCGGGGAGGCCCACAACACTCGTATTCTTTTGTTGTCCTTGCACACCACTCGGACCATAAAGCTCCCCTGTTTTACTGCGCATCTGTGTATGCTGCTGCGGGGCCCCTGCCCGGCTGGGACGGGTCCACCTGCCCCCAGCGCCCGGTCGGTGTGGGTGGGCAGGAAGGTCCTAGCACCCTACCTTCACGCCCCGGAGCCCTTTTCCCCCGAGGGATGACTACCCTTGGGGGTAGGAAGCCTCAAGCAGGCCCAGCCCTCCGTGTGCCATGCCCTATCCAAGTGGGACCAGCACGGCCACCATCCTGTGTGCCCGGTCCAGCCCTCTGAGGGCAGCTGTGTGTCCCTGCTCCCACCTGACACCCAACCCTAACCCCACAGGCCGCTCCCCGCCAGCTGTCAGCAGGGCCCTGCCCTGCCCCCAACCCCACAGGTGCCCAGAGGACTGCTCCCTCCGAGGGCGTGCAGGCGGAAGCGGGGCCTGGTGGCCGGGCCTCCCCCTCCCCAGTTCCCGTGCCTAGAGAACTTCGCACCCACGAGGCCGTGGGCCATCGGTCACTGGGCAGGTGTTGGGGGCTGGACCCCAGATACCTTAGGGGCTCCCTTTAGCCTGGAGTTTGTGAGGTCGACTGTCCCTGTAGTACCTGCTAACGTGGGGACCACACTGACCTGAAGCTTGCCCAGGGCCCCTCATCTGACGGACCCACAGTGTGGCAGGTCCCGGCCTTCGGAGCCAAGGGCATCGGTGACCTGCCCCTCTGCCAAGCTAGAATATTTCCTGCTCAACATCGTGTGTGGGAGGGGCCTGGAGGGAGGCTGTCACCATGCAGTTCATGGGTGTGCAGAGCTGCCCAGAGCAGCAGCAGCCTCTGGACATTGGAGGTGGGGAGCGCAAGAGCATGCCCTTGCATGGGGAAGCTGGACATCCTGGGGACAGGAGGCTGCAGGCACTCAGGTGGTGCCCATCTGGACCCAGGTACCTGGGGAGGACTTGGCACCTCCAGCACTGCAGCACAGAGGCCAGCAGGGTGGGGAGCCGCCCATCTGCTCCTGCCCGGGCTGAACCGAGGCTTGAATTCCGGGAGCTGTCTGCTGTGCGGGCCAGGGCTTGGGCTTCCTCCAGGCTTCAGCTCCAAGACCTGCCAGGCCACCAGCTGCCCTTGGGCAGGTGTCCTGGAGATGGGGGCTGGCAGGACCGGCCAGGTGCTCCCTGGGCCCGGGTCCCCTCGTTAGACCCCAGGCCTGCCCTTGAGGCTGCAGAGAGCCCGTCACCTCGCGCCCAGCCACAGCCCCAACCTGGAGCCAGCGGGGCACACGCGTCCCAGGCCCACGGCGCGGCCCCTTTAAGTGCAGTCCTGCCAGTCGCCACTGGCGGCAGCACTGAGCGGCCCGGCGGCCTCGCGCCGCTGCCTGGAAGCTTCTGCTGGTGCCGGGGACGCGGCGGCAGCGCGGGGGACGGCAGAGCTCGCCGGGCCTGCGCAGCCCACCGGGCAAGGTGGGGGAGCACCGCCCAGGTAAGGGGTCGAGGCCGCTGCCCCGCGGGTCTTTCGCAGGTGCGGCATCTGCAAGGATGGGGGTGCCGCCCCTGGAGGACGCCGGCCCCCACCCGGGCGCTCGGGGCAGGGGCCGGGCTGCTTGGCGGGGAGGCCACCCGCCGGGCTTATTAGGCCTAGGACCCCGGCGAGGGCGGACTGTCCCATCCCCATGGGCAGGGGTGTCGCCCGGTCTAGCTCCTCATCACAGCAGCACCAAGGCCGGGCTGTCACCTCCCTGGGGCGGAGCCTCACACCCCGTCATCCAGCCCCCAATTCCGGCCTAGCTTTAAGATGGAAGGGAGTGGGAGGGGGTGGTCCTGCAAACCAGGGGCAGTTGGGGTGCGCCTGAGGCTGAGCTGGGGGCAGGCACTGGGCCTGGGTGGCCTTGACCCAGGAGGGCAGCCCTGCCGGCAGGAAGCCCCTGGCACACCCGGGACACAGAGGGTCAACCAGACCAGAGGTCCTACCAGGTGAGGACCCAGCTCACCCTGGAGCACGCTCCCCCAGCCTGTGTGAGGAAGTGGGGACCTGTACCACTGTCTGAGCTCCTCGCAGCCTGTCCAGGCTCTGGGTACCCAGTGAAGCCGGTGGCTCAGGTCTGAACGTGAGCCTGGTTCAGAGGGCTGGACCCCAGCTCAGCCTGCATGCGGGGGCATGGAACCTCAGGTTTCCATGGAGCCTTCCCGAGCTGCTGTGGGGAGGGCCTGCCTGAGAATCGGGGGCGGCGGGGGCTTTACCCACCCACCGCCCTGCTTCCCCGGCTGGCAGCCTCCTGGCCTGGTGCTTTGCTCAGGGACCCAGGGGCAGCCTTGAGCTCCTGGCTCACAAGCCCCCACGTGGTCCTGCAACCAGGGCCCAGTTGCCGGCTGCCGTGTACTCACTGCAAAGATGGGGGGTCGCTCTCCCGGGCTTTTCCTGACAGCCCCAAAGATCTTCGTGGGTCTTGCCACCCCAGGATGAGGGAGAGTCAAAGGATGTTTCTGCAAAGGAAAGGGAGCTTTAGGGTCCACTGTGATCTTTGGAAGCATTACTCTGGCCTGGGCCACACGGAGAGTTGAGGGTGGGGCCAGCAAGTCCACGAGCCGAGATGCCATGCCTGGACCCGATGGGGCCACTTCAGGACCTGGGGCCTGACACAGCGCTGGGGGAGGACTGCATGTCCAGCCTAGCCAGCAGGTGGGGCGGGACGATCAGGTGACTGAGTGGAGCTGCTGAAGGCCGGGGCCGGGACCTCACACTGCAGCAGTGGAGGGCTCGCTCTGCACTGGGTCTTAAGGAGGGGGCTTCAGCCACCTGCTCTGTGGAGCCAACACCTATAAAGAAGTCTGTGAAGGCCCCAAAGGAGTACACAGTTGCTCCAGCAGTGGGATCCTGGGATCACACCCCCACTCTTCCTACCCTGCTGCTGGCCTGTCCCAGGAAAGGGGGTCTACCCAAGCCTGCCCAGTGGTCACTAGTGCGCGCAGAAGTTCGGGAACCACTGCAGTGACATCCCTGTTCTGGCTGACCCGCCTCATCCCAACAGAAAGTGGCACAGAAAGGATGGTCTGGATGAGGGGGCAGGACCTGAGTGGCTGGACAGCTGGGTTCCTCCTGCAGGTGCTTCTGACGCCAGCATGGAGCAAGTGCTTGCGGCCTCGGCCAAGGCCCGTGGCCAGGGCTGCCCCGCCCACTGTGCCCCAGGTAAGCCGGGCCAGCGCTGGGGGTTAGCGGGGCCTGGGCTACAGAGGGGCTGCCCTGACCCGCGTCTCCCCTCAGGGCGAAAGCCCCGAAAGGCCGAGTGAGCTGCAGCCTGGAGGCCTCTTTTAAGATGACCCGCACGGACCCGCCGGACCTGCTGGTGTCGACCGTGTACCAGGACATCAAGGTGGCGGCCCCGGGGCCCGTGTCGAGGCCCCCGCCATGTGAGCGCCCAATGGCCCGGCCTGCTGCGCCCGCGCCTTTCAACAAGCGCCACTGCCGCAGTTTCGATTTCCTGGAGGCACTGGACCGGGAGGCCATGGAGGCCCGTCCGGAGCCGCCGCCTCCGGAGCCCGCCGCGCCGCGCGCCCGATCCCGCGACGGCGAGCCACGGCGCCGCGCCCGCTCCAAGAGCGCACCCCGTGCGGCCCCGGGCCTGGCGCCCGCACCCGCCTCGCCGCCTGTGCCGCCGCGCCGAGGCCGGGAGGCCCAGCGGGCGGCGCCGGCCGACGCATCGCCCCGCCGGGAGCCCGCGTACCCCGCGCTGCGCGCACTCGCCAACGAGCTGCACCCCATCAAGCTGCAGCCTCAGCGGGGCGGCCCGGGCCGCATGGCGCCCCTGTGCGCCGCCGCCAACCGCTGTGCGCCGGCCGAGCCACCCGCGGGGCCGGCCCCCCACGTCCGCTGCCGCCTGGACGTCAAGCCCGACGACGCGGTGCTGCAGCATGCCGCCCGGAGCTCGAGGCCCTGCGGGCCCACCGAGACCGCGCCCTGGCCCCGCGCCGCCCCGCAGCTCCACGGCCTCACGGTGCCCGGGCCTCGCCACGTGGGGCTCTCGCTCACCCCCACCCCCAGTGACTCATACTGCGCCGACCCCCGGGCGCTGTACTGCGATGGGCCCCTTCTCGGGCCCCGAGACTACGCGGAGCGCCGGAGTCTGCCCTTCACCACCCCGCCGGGCCCCACCCAATTCTTCTACACCGAGGAACCCGAGGGCCACCCCGGTGGCTTCATGGCCAGCCCTGGACCGCCCTTCGACAGCTACTACCCCAGGCCCTTTCTGTCCGAAGAGCCACCCGGGCCCAGTCCAAGACGCGGAGGCGTCTACTATGCGGGGGAAGTTCGCACCTTCCCCGTCCAAGAACCACCCTCCCGTTCCTACTACGGGGAGGCCCCCCGAGCCTACGGCCCGCCCTGCGGCCCCCGCTACGCCCCCGAAGAGCCCCGGGCTCACCCCGCCGCCCGCCCCTTTTACACTGAGGACTTCGGGCGGTACCGCAATCGAGACGCCCTGACGCGGACTTACCCACACCCGCGCGGCAGCCCGGCCTGGGGCGACTGGGGCCCGAGGCCTTACCGCACCCTGCAGGTGGCGCCTCCTCCCCCGGACCCCGGCCCGTTGCTCGCCTCGTGGCACGGCGGCACCGGCACCAGCCCACCCCGGCTAGCGACCGACAGCCGCCACTACTCGCGCTCCTGGGACAACATCCTGGCGCCCGCGCCGCGCCGCGAAGACCCACTGGGCCGCGGCCGCAGCTACGAGAACCTGCTGGGGCGCGAGGCACAGGAGCTGCGGGGCACATCCCCCGAAGGCCGGCGCCCGCCCGTCATAGTGAACCTGTCCACCTCGCCCAGACGCTACGCGGCTCTGTCGCTGTCCGAGACGTCGCTGTCGGAGAAGGGCCGTATGGGCGAGGGCCTGGCCCGAAACTGGTACGTCACGCCGGAGATCACCATCACCGACAACGACCTGCGCGCGGCTGAGCGCCCGAGCGCCAGGAGCTGGGAGCTGCTGGGGAGCCGCCCGCGGCCGCCTCCGCCCGCCGTCCCCGATGGCCCCGCCTCTGGCCGCCAGCGCAGCCTCGAACAGCTGGACGAGCTCATCACCGACCTGGTCATCGACTCGCGGCCCCCAGCCGGCCAAGCGCCCGAGCCCGCGTCCGACGGCCTGGGCCGCCAGCTGCGGCGCCTGCTAGACTCGCGACCCTCGGGCGCCGGGGTCCCGACGCGGGCGCCGCGCTCGCCACCCCTGTCTGCCGGCAGCGCTGAGGAGCCCGCGGGCCCGGGGCAGGCGGCCGACGCGTCCCCGGAGCCCAGCGCTGACGAGGACGACCTGATGACGTGCTCCAATGCGCGCTGCGGGCGCACCGAGACCATGTTCAACGCCTGCCTCTACTTCAAGTCCTGCCACAGCTGCTACACCTACTACTGCTCGCGCCTCTGCCGCCGCGAGGACTGGGACGCGCACAAGGCGCGCTGCGTGTACGGCCGCGTGGGCAGCGTGTGCCGCCACGTGTTGCAATTCTGCCGCGACAGCGGCCCAGTGCACCGCGCCTTCTCGCGCATCGCGCGCGTCGGCTTCTTGTCGCGCGGCCGCGGCGTGCTCTTCCTGGGCTTCCCGAGTCCCGGCTCCGCAGACAACTTCCTGCGCTTCGGCCTCGAGGGGCTGCTGCTGTCGCCCACCTACCTGTCGCTGCGCGAGCTGGCCATGCACGCGGCGCCACTGGGCAGCTATGCTCGGGAGCTGGCGGCCGCCGGCCGCCTCTACGAGCCGGCGGAGTGCTTCCTGCTCAGCGTGTCCGTGGCCGTGGGCCCCGGCGCTGTGCCACCCGGCGCCCCTGCGCGGCCAGCTCCCGCGCCGCGCAGCCCCGGACCCACGGTGCGCAAGTTCGCCAAAGTGGCGCTGGCGGCCGGCAGCCCAGCACGGCCGCCCCCGGCGCGGGGCCGCGAACCCGACATGGAGACGTTGATCCTGACGCCGCCGCCCGGCACTGCGGGCCTGGACCAGGACGGCGAGGCGGGCCGGCGAGCACGCGAGGTGGCCTTCATCCACATCCAGCGAGAGCTGCGGCTCCGCGGCGTCTTCCTACGCCACGAGTTCCCGCGCGTCTACGAGCAGCTCTGCGAGTTCGTCGAAGCCAATCGGCGCTTCACACCCACCACCATCTACCCCACGGACCGGCGCACAGGCCGTCCCTTCATGTGCATGATCATGGCCGCCTCGGAGCCACGCGCGCTAGACTGGGTGGCCAGTGCCAACCTGTTGGATGACATTATGTGAGCCGCGAGGACGCGCCCGGGGCCCGCCCAGTCCACCCAGGGCCCACCCTGAACTCCATCCAGTCCACCCAGGCCCCGCCCCGAGTTCACAGTCCCCGCCCAGCTCGCCAAAAGCTCCGCCCCATTGCGTTCTCCACAGGCTCCGCCTTTCCCTCCGCCTTCCTGCGAACCCCCTTTCCCCCCAACCCCCAGACCAGTCCCGCCCGGCTCCCTCTCCCCCAGCTCGCCTTCGGGCCTCCCCAAGGGCCGGTCCTCGGCCGCTTGGTGCTCCCCGCTGGGAGGCGGGGTGGGTCTGAGGACCAGACCGCCCTGCCTTTACGCGGAGGGGTCACTGCTGCAGATCCCACCGCGCATAATCGGTTCGTCCGACCCCTGTCCGTCTGCAGGGCCTCCCTGGAACCTCTCCAACCCCGGCTCGCCCTGGTCCAGGAGCCCGAGTCGACCAAAGCCTAGTCCCGTCCCTTTAAACACACTCCCCACCCGCCTCCTGTGGTCTGGGATGCGTCCTGCTCAGAGGCCTTTCCCCTCTAGAGGACACCCTGATTGGCCTCGGTGTGTCCGCATCCCAAGCACGTCCTGGCCTGATGGGCAGGGCCGGCGGGGACCTGCGCGTGGTGTCTCCGCTGGCCCCCATCCCTGCTGTGCCGGACCATGGCAAACTGACGGCGCTGCCCGCCCTGCTGCAGAGGTTGGGCAAGCAGCAGTGAAGGGGTACTCGGGGGTCCTCAGCCAAGGTGCAAGACACCCAGCCAGAGGGAAGGGAGTCCTGGGCGGGGGAAGCAGAGGGGACGTATGGGTAGGGGCGCTGGCCAGACCTGAGACCTGGCTGGGCGTGAGTCGGGCTGCCTGCCCTCACCCGACAGGATGGCCCTAGGCGTGTGCCAGGGCAGACCCGGGGTGCAAACGGCAGCGCAGGCCCTAACCACACAGGGAGGCCGGAAGCAGGTATACAGGGAGGCAGGAAGCAGGTGCACAAGATGGATTTGCGGGAGGGGCCGAGGAGGCCGTCCAGCAGGGACCCTATTCCTAGGCACAGGGAGGACCAAAGAAGAGGGGCGTTCCCAGTTTGGAGCAGGGCGGGGAAAGCGTGGATGGGAGCAGGTTCGCCAGGGCGGTGGTCCACCGGAGGGGTGGGGGGCGCGATTAAACAAACGCCCCCGAGCGCTCGCTCTAGCTGTGCCCTATGGTGCGGCCAGGGGGCCCGGCTCCGGCCCTCGGGAGCGCACGCTCGAGTGTCCGTCGTTCCCCGCCCTCCCCCGGGGTGCCCGCTGGCCCTGGCCCGGGCTCCAAGGATGGCGAGTAACCTGGAGAGAGGGCAAGGCCGGGAGCCCGGAAGGGCCCTCCTGTAGCCCCCAGTCCCCCATTGGGGCCAGGTGGGGCATCGACTGAATTAAATTGTGGACCTCCCCCCCGCCAAACCCCGCCTCTGTTCCCGGCCCTCGCCCCTGACCATGCACCTGCGCCCATCTCCTTCCCCTAAATGCCTGTGCGCCTGCCTCGGCTCCGCGCATTTGCACCGGCCACGCGCCCCGCTTGCCCCACCCGCCTTCGCGGCCTCCCAAACTGGCCGCCGCGCCCCCGGCCTGGGTGCCTCCGCCTTCTGCCCCACGCCTGAGGGCCGGCCCTCCAGGAAGGACCCTGGGCCGGGATTATTTCCAGAGGGCGAGCGCTTTCGAACCAAGGAAAATAAAACTCGAATGTAGCCATTGCTGCCTCATTCTTTGTGCGGGGGAGTGGGTGGCACGCGGGACGGAGACTTTCGGAGGCGTGGGGGGGGCCTTCGGAAACCTGGGAGGGACACCATGGAGCAACGCGGAGTGGGAAGCAGGAGAGAGAGGCCCTCGGCCTCGGTGGGGGACGGGGGAAGGAGGCCCTCGGGCACGGGGTGGGGGGAACCCGGAGGGAAGCCAAGGGACAGCGGGAGCTGACAGCGGGATCGGTGTAGGGGAAGGGAGGCCTTCGGTCACGTGGGGGAGGGGGCCAGGGCCGGCGCGCGTCCCTTGGGCCTCATGGGCCTCCTAACCCCCACCAAATGGGCCTGTCACACCCCCCTCCTCCCCGCAAGCTCCCTAGAAAGGAACTTTTACGGGGGCTGGATTGAGTCACCACCTACTCCCGGTTCCAAGTTTCTCTTTAAGTGGAGCCGGCGTGGTATCTGGGCTGCAAGGAGCTGGATCGCGATTGGCCAGTCTGTGCCGCGGGTTGGCCGCGTGGTTGGCTGAGGCACTGGGCTCGGGCAGCATGACCCCGCAGGATTGATCATGGGCTCCCAGGCCCCGCCTCCCGCACTGTCGGCGCTGCCCCGGGTCGCGTGGGGGAAGGGCCGCGGGCCGCAGGGGGTGAGTGCGCTCCGGGAACATGACGGCGGCGGACCTCCCCCAGATCCCCGACGTGGACATCGACTCCGACGGCGTCTTCAAGTATGTGCTGATTCGAGTCCACGCGGTGCCGCCCTCCGGGGCCCCGGCCGGGGAGAGCAAAGAGATCGTTCGCGGCTACAAGTGGGCCGAGTACCACGGTGAGGGCGGGGCGGAGGGGCAGGGGGCGGGGTCTCCGGCGTCTGTGGGCGGGACTAGCCACGGCTGTGGGCGGGGCCGAGGGGCGTAGTGGGAGGTGATCCTGTACCCGGTTTCATCCCTGGCTGGCCCAGAGGAGCGTGGAGTACCCAGATCTGGAGTACCCAGATGGTCCTGGAGACGAGGGGCTGCCATGGCCCGACTCCTCCCTCCTAGTCCCAGCGCCCCTGCCCGGGTGCACCCCCTCCTCCATTTCATCCCTTCCCAGAGGGTCTCCTCTCCTGGGGAGGGAGCTGCTCAGAGCGGGGCTTCAGACCCCTTCAGCCTTCAAGGGCAGCCAGGGCGCGTGCTGAGCCCCCCTTCCTATCCCAGCGGACATCTATGACAAGGTATCAGGCGAGATGCAGAAGAAAGGCTATGACTGCGTGTGCCTGGGGGGCGGGCGCATCTCCCACCAGAGCCAGGACAAGAAGATCCATGTGTACGGCTACTCCATGGTGAGCCCACAGCCTCGGGCCTGGGTGGGCCGAGGGCCCCAGTCCTGGCTTGGGGAGACCTGGCCCTCCAAGCTGCCTGACCTGGGGTGCTCAGTTTTCCGGCCCTTCTCAGCGGCAGAACCCTCCATCCAGGGCCTGTAGGCTCCCCATTTCTCACGTGGCATGACACAGGAAGCACACAGGGTGGGAGGGAGCCGCCCCCTGCCCCTCTGCTCTGACGGTCTGCGTGCTGTTCCTGGTCCAAAAGGCCTGACTGGCCGTCATCCTTTAGTGCTTTGAGGCCATCAGTGCTGGGGTGAAACTAAGAGGCCCCTGTCCCTCCCTTCACCAAGCTACCAGCAGATACACGGGGGCACCTAGAGGGGTCTGGGCCTCCAGGTAAAGGAACCTCCCTCAAGATCTGCTCACCCTGGTGGCCACGCTTCCACAGGAGAGCACCTGGGGTGGTCGGAGAGGATGACAGCCCCCTCCCGAGCTGGCCCCTGGTGTCCCTGCTGACCAGGCGCCCAGAGCCAGGACAGGGCTGTGAGAGCTGCCTTCTCCCTTCAGGGTTACGGTCGTGCCCAGCACTCAGTCTCCACTGAGAAGATCAAAGCCAGGTACCCTGACTACGAGGTCACCTGGGCCGACGACGGCTACTGAGGCCCACCTGAGGCCAGCCACCTCCAGCGGCCCACTTGGAACTCTGTTCTCAAGGCCGCCTCCCAAGAGGCTGGGCTGCACCCCCTGGCGCTTTGCCACCCTGGCCAGGCCTCAGTGCCCGGGGTTACCTCTCTGGGGAGAATTAAAAGCATCGTCACCTCCGCTGGTCCCTGAATGCTGTGTGTCTTGGCTTCTCTGTTCCTAGGTCACCTCTCTGTACTCCCGACTAGAGTGGGGGCAGTGGGTCACTCCTGGCTGCCCCTCACCCCGCTCCACCCCTGGGGGCCCCGGGAGTGGCAGTGCACACTCAGCCCTTTGGGGCCTGATAAGGGGGCCCCTGGGCTGCTGCCCCCGTTTATGGCCTGATTGCTTCTCCACACACCTGCTATCCCCAAGGACATCTGGGAGGAGACCTGATGAGCCCTTACGCAAGGAGCTAGGGCTGAGTCCCTCGGGCCTGCCGAGGCAGGGACCCATCCCAGTGTGCGGGGAGGGCAGGCGCCAGCAGCCACCCTCCTGGCCAGCTGCCAACTGAGGTCATGAGTCAGGCAGTCTACGACCCCTCGACTCCAAGGTCAGGTCCCACGGCCCTGCGCCGCAGCCACAGGCTCTGCTCCAAGTAAACAGGCAGGGCTTCAGACTCGGAGCTGGGAGCCCCTCTCCCAAGACCCTTCTCTTGGCACAGGGCTGTGGGGAGCGGAGGTGCCCCTTGCCGAGGCTGTGACCCTGCCGTGCCAGCCTCCTGTGAGCCTCCAGGGCCCTCACGGGAGCCTGTCCAGGCAGGCACCATTGTGACCGCGTTTGAAAACGAGGAAAGACTTCCCCGGTGGTCCAGTGGTTAAGAATCCGTCTTGCAATGCAGGGAAGGCGGGTTCGACCCCTGGTCGGGGAGCTAAGATCCCACGTGCCGCGGGGCAGCTAAGCCCACGCACCGCAACTACTGAGCCTGTGCGCCATAACAAAAGATCCCACGTGCGGCAACTAAGACCTGACGCAGCCAATAAATAAATAAATTTTAAAACAAAGATGAGGAAACTGAGGCTCAGGTGAGACAAGCTCCCCAGGCCGCACGGTAGTAAACTGTGGGTGGAGCCTGGCTCCAAATCCTCCACGGGGGTCGGTGCCACAAGCCCCAGAGTCTCTAGGTTCCTCTGGACTCTGTGCCTGGCAGCGTCCAGCCCACACTGTTCAGGACACTTGTTGACGAATAGTCTGTCCATCGTTTGTAAGAGCAAGCGAAGAGGAACCCACAGGCTGAGTTATGGAGGCCAACGTCCCGGGTTGCTAGGGCTGCCCCAACCCATGCAGGGAACTCAGGGGCTGGGTGTGGGGTTTGCACAAGCTGGTTTCCTACTGGCAACCCGGGCCAGGCTGAGTTGAATTCCCAGCAGGTGTGGGGTCAGAGACCCCAGGAGAAGCGGCCGAGGCCGGTGTCACTCGGTGCCGTCTCCAGTGGGGCCTCCACCCGGCAGGGCTGGGCAGCAGTGGGCATGATGGTCGGAGCCTGACCTTTGGCCTGAAGGAGCCAGGCAGGTGGGAGCTCACCTAGGCCAGGGGCCCCTCTCCTGGATGCTTTTACAGCCGGGTGCCCGTCCTTGTCAGCGCAGGGCGGGGCCAGGCGAGGGGCTGCAGGTACAAGTGGGGCTGAGCCCTGCTCTCCGATTAGAGCAGAGTCAGCCGGTGGGGCCTCGGGCTGATAACCAGGAAAAGTCCCCACCAGGCTGGCCGGTGTACACACTGCCCCTTGGTCTCCCTCCCTCTGCCCTGACCATGTCTCTGCCCGGCCACCTCCTGCCCGTCTTGGTCCTGCTCCTGGGTGAGTCGTCGGGCCTGGCTCCCGAAGCAGGAATGTCCGGGGGCTCGGGTGCTGGGCCTACAGAGAAGGAGGGGTTCAGGCCCTGGACGGCCTGCAGTAGGGGACGCAGGCGAGCCCTTGGGGTCCTGGGGATGGCCCCGCTGGGGAAGGGTGCTGCTCTCCCTGGCCTCGATCTCCACCTGGGCTCCAAGGTGAGAGGGCCCTGAAAGCAGATGGCAGTCAGCCACCTTGACCTGGACAGAGCTTTGGGGGGCCTGGGCCACCCGCTGATGCATCGCCTTAAGGGGGCTCCCTGATGGCAGCCCCTCCGGTTTCTTGCTGGGCTCCTGTTCTCTTCCCCAGGGAGTGTCCCACATCAGGGGTCCTTGGTCCCTCGCTCGCCCACGCAGCCCCCATCCTGACACGCAGGCAGCCTCTCCAGGTTCAGTCATTCTCTGCTTGGCCCTGACAGGGACCCCCCAGGTGGCAGTTCTCTGGGTTTCAGGCCCCCAGACACAGACCCAGCCCCCTCCCTGCATGACTTCCTGGCCTGGACCCCAAAGCAGTGTGACCTATGTCCCGGGATGCCCGAGTCTGAGCAGTTTCTGGGCCATGGAACAGTCCCAGGCAAACTGGGATGTGGGGTCTCCCTACCCCAGGCCACCTGGCTGTCTCTCTGTTGGCAGCAAGGTCCCCGGGCTGGGCCTGGGGCCCCAGCCGCTGCAGACCCCCCCGCGAGGCCGTGTGCAACTTCGTGTGTGACTGCAGGGGCTGCCCCGACGAGGCCCAGTGTGGTGAGCCGGGGCCGGGCAGGGAGCGGGCAGGGCCGGCGCTTGCAGGCACCCCACCTGACCACCTGCCCTGCAGGTTACCACGGGGCCTCACCCACCCTGGGCGCCCCCTTCGCCTGCGACTTCGAGCAGGACTCCTGTGGCTGGCGGGACATGAGCACCTCGGGCTACAGCTGGCTCCGAGACCGGGCAGGGGCCGCACCGGAGGGTCCAGGGCCGCGCTCGGACCACACTCTGGGCACTGACCTCGGTGAGGCCTGGGCGGGTCTCCACACCAGCCCTCCCCTCTGTGCTTCCCGCCCAGTCTCCTGACCTCTCGGCCCGGCCAGGCTGGTACGTGGCTGCTGGGACACACCGTGGGAGAGAGGCAGCCACCGCAGCCCTGCGCTCCCCAACCCTGCGTGAGGCAGCCCCCTCCTGTGAGCTGAGCCTCTGGTACCACGTGGCCTCTGGAGGTGCGGGTCCCGAGGGGAGGGACCGGGAAAGGAAGGGGAGCTGCCGCAGAGACGGGAGGGCGCCCCCAGGACGGGACGGGCAGGGGTCCTGGGGCAGGGCGCAGCAGCCACCGGGCAGGGGGAGGGGTCCCGGGGCCTGAGATGCCTGGGACGCCCCACTGCAGGTGTGGCCGAGCTGCGGCTGGAGCTGACCCACGGTGTGGAGACACTGACCCTGTGGCGGAGCTCGGGGCCCTGGGTCCCAGGCTGGCAGGAGCTGGTGGTGCCCACCGGCCGCATCCAGGGTGACTTCAGGGTGAGACGGGGACGGTCGCATGGTGGGGGCAGCGAGGAGGGTCTGAGCTCTGCCTGAGATCCCAGGGACCTCGCTCTCTTCAGGTGACCTTCTCTGCCACCCGAAACGCCACCCGCAGGGGTGCTGTGGCCTTGGACGACGTGGCCTTCTGGAGCTGTGGGTTGCCCAGTAAGGTCCCCAGGCCGTGAACGCACATCTGGGTGGGGGAGGGGTTAGCAGGAGCCCGTGGTCCCCTCATTCCGGCCTTGAGCCTCTCCCCAAGCTGCCCTGACCTGGAGCCTTGGGGTGGGGTGATGTGTTAACCCTCCCCCACCCTAGCCCCGCAGGCGCACTGCCCCCTGGGGCATCACCATTGCCAGAACAAGGCCTGCGTGGAGCCCCACCAGCTGTGCGACGGGGAGGACAACTGCGGCGACGGTTCAGATGAGGACACGCCCACCTGCAGTGAGCCGGGGCTGGCGGGGCCGCGGGCGGGGGTTGTCCCTTGGCACGGTCCTTCTGAGGGTGAGGCAGCTCCTGTCCACCTGGAGCTGGGGCCATCAGCGCAGGCCCGGGGAGGCGGGGGGCCCAGGGAGGAGGCCCCGCGTGGTAGCCGGAGCCCCGCTTCCTGCCCTAGACCACCACACGGCCACCGATTTTGAGAGGGGCTTGGGCCTGTGGAACCGCTCAGAGGGCTGGGCCCGGAACCACAGCGCGGGCGGCCCACAGCACCCCGCCTGGCCGCACCGTGACCACAGCCGGAACAGCGCGCAGGGTGAGGCCCCCCAGGGACCCCGGCCGCCACCCGGGCCACGCTCGGCCACAGCACCCCGGCCACCCCGGCTCACGCCTGCTGTCTCCCCAGGCTCCTTCCTGGTGTCCGTGGCAGAGCCCAACGCCCCAGCCATCCTCTCCAGCCCCGAGTTCCAGGCCTCGGCCCCCCAGAAGTGCTCGGTGAGGCGGGTGGAGGACACAGGGTGGCCACCCTGATCGCCTGGGCCCTGGAGAGCCTCCCCTGACATGCTCACTCCCCTTCCAGCTCACCTTCTATCACTACCTGCACGGGTCCGAGGCTGGCTGCCTCCAGGTGTTCCTGCAGACGCGGAGCACTGGCGCCCCCCAGGCCGCTGTCCTGCTGCGCAGGCGCCACGGGGAACTGGGGGCCGCCTGGGTCCGAGACCGCGTTGACATCCAGAGCAAGCACCCCTTTCGGGTGAGGCTGGCGAGGGCAGCACCATGCAGGGACATGGGGAGGTCCAGGGGCCCCTCAGGGAGTCCGGGCTGGGCCCCTCCGCTGTCTCAGCAGGAAGGCAAGCCAGAGGGGAGGAGGGGCTGCCTGCCGAGGCCCCTCTTGCAGGGCTGGGGTGGTGACGGGAGGGAGCGTCCAACGATAGACAGGTACGAGGTGTGGGTCGTGGGGAGAGGGCTCGAGGGAGCAGACCCAGGGATGACAGAGCCGCCTCCACCCTCAGATCCTCCTGGCCGGGCAGACGGGCCCGGGGGGCGTCGTGGGCCTGGATGACCTCATCCTGTCTGACCACTGCAAACCAGTCCCAGGTGAGCCTGCTGGGCACCCCCCCGCCCCCCGTGAGGAGAAGCACAGCCCCCACCCACCTGCCTGATCCCTGCTCTGCCCCCACAGAGGTGGCTGGCCCACCTCCTGGGCTCTGGGCTCCAGGTCCCCGGTCCCAGCTGTCCAGCCTGCAGCCCTGGAATTTCTGCGAGCCCGGACATCTCTTGTGTGGGGACCTATGTGTCCCCCCGGAGCAGCTGTGTGACTTCCAGCAGCAGTGCCCTGGGGGCGAGGACGAGCAGGAATGCGGTAAGAGGCGGAGCTGGGTGCGGGGAGCCCTCACCTCC